TGCTTGGCTCACTGACTGACTGACTGGTTGCTCGCTCGCTCGCTCGCTCGCTCGTCCGAGCATCTCTTCAATGGTGGTTTCGACGTCGACGGCGGCTGCAGCACCGAACGAACACCAGCGCATGCGCCGTGACCGCTCTAGGATTTGAGCCATCACGGTTTCTCGGTCGTTTCTCGTCCGCTCGGTCGCTCGGTCGGTCGCTCGCTCGCTTGCTCGCTCGATGTCTTCTTCCTCATCGTTGAAGCCATCCGCCGTCGAGATGCCGGCGATTTCGTTTCTGTAGCTGCGGATATGGAGCTATTGGCTGGGGAGAGCCCGTCTTTCCGTCGTCGAAGATCGGTCTCGGAGAAGTACCCTTTGCCGTATACGGACTGAAGCAGGCCCTTCCACGAGTCTCAAAGCTCCAGGTTGGCTCGTAGATCTAATAGGGACATCCTCACACGAGATTGACCTCTGGTGGGCTACCCAGAGGATATCCATCCGTCTGCAATCGACCCTCGTGTGGGATGGCGCGAATTCGTCTCTTCCTATTTCCAGAACGAGAGGGGAGGGAGCATCGAGGTACATGTGAGATTGGCTCGGTCTCTATCGCTGCGGTCCTCGTGATGTTCGCATCAGAAGTCAGCCGTGCAGTCGGTGGAAGCTGCGGCGGCGTCGTCGTTGTTGTTGTTGTTGTTGTTGGCGTCATCTTTGGAGTAGGGCGGAACCCTCCCGAGGTCGTTAGACGTCTTCTCGAAACGCCCGTGGGCTGTTTCGGCCGGGAAGGGAGGACGACGATGCCGAGGAGGAGGAGTGTGCCGAAAAGATAGACTGACACCGAAAAAAAGAAAGAGAGAGATAGACGATAGATAGATACCACCACCACCAGTCACGAGAATCTGTGTTACGGCTGCTACAAGATAGAGAAGAAGTCAGGCGGGCTCCTTGCTTGGATGGTCGGCGGGCAGGCAGGCAGGCGGGCGGGTGTACGCTCGCTCGCTCAAACGCACGGACGAATTTCGTGAGGCCACACCGTGAGGCTCGAAGTCTCTTCTAAACACCCGAGCGCATTCCTCAGCCGAATCTGCCTCGGAGGCGAGCGTGTGCGCGGGCGAGCGTAGAAACTAATGGATCCGAATCTATAGGAGCGAATCCGCATGCTCTCCTCTCGATTCGCCCCCTCCCGACCGCATGACCCTCAGGGCGGGTACCGCCAGTGTGCCGGAGCTTTTCCGCGGTACCTAGCTCGAGCTCGTGCGGTATGACAGCATGAGATCCAACTTGAGGGACTCGAGAGTACACGGGATGGCATGAATTCCTCGGATCATCTCTCGGGACAGCGAAGATCTTATTGGAAACCTCGCTCCACTTGCTCTTCGATGCGGCTCGATCGTAGGACGGGCTGGCCTTTGACATTGTTCTGTTTTCTGACCGTGTCGATCGCGCGCCGAAGCCACCCGGAAACTGCGAATCAATGATCGACCGATGGCCCGATGACGGCTTCCTCGAGTCGTATCTCCATCGATCGAAGCACGCGGAGGTATCCGACTGAGTCGAATTTATTATTGAGACTAATTGGCTCATGTTCAAGAGTCGCTTGGCAGCCAGCGAGACGGCCAGCTACTCCTGGAGAAGTCGTTCATTGAAGAGAACAACTTAGCAGAACCGTTAACTACGCTTGATGCAGTCGGCTCCCTCCGCGTATCGGATTGCTCGCCGAGGGCCAATGTTTGTTTATCCCGAGCTTCTTTGAATCTATCGCTTGAGCAATGTTTTGCGCAAAAAGCTCGTCCCCCCCACTAGTCCCTTCTTTATTTCCACTTCTTCCAGTGGTGGTGGTGCCGGAGCCGGCGCTGTCGGTGCCGGCCATAACGGAGCTGTCTGACGGGACGATTGCGATGACGGAGCCGCGACCGTCGACGACGACCACGACGAGGAAACGATGAAGTCTTGGCCGCGATGCGCTCATGCCGCTGCGGCACTTCTGCTCACTCGTAGGCTAGCCGGCCCGACAGACAGACGGATGAATTCTCTTTGCTGCCGCGGCTGCTATTCCTTTCCATTTTATTTTCACTCGTCATTCCATCATCAGCATCTTCTTTTTTTCTCTCGGTTTTTATGAATGAATAAAACGCTTGATGCGTCTCGACTGGGGACGCTCCAGTAGAAGAGCATCATGAGAGCTCTATCGGCTCCTTCATTGCCCGCTCCACTCTTCGGTGCAAGGAGCCCTTCGTTTCCATCGACTTGTGGTCACTGAAGCAATCACAAGCTTGAGGAACGACAAAAAACTCCTCAATATCATATCGGAAGCGCTTCACTGGAGTACTTGGTGGCCCAAGTCGCTCAGGCTTCGAGAGACTCGACTCGAGCTCCCTCTTGTTCATGTCAAATGTCGAGCGATCGTCTGGGAGCCTTACCTCGATGACTGTTTCTTTGGAGATCCGTTGGAGCGGGAGTATGGCGGAAAGATGGACTTCTGCAGCGCTCGATTTACTGAGTCTCGGCGCTGAGAACGTCCAGGCTGTCGGCAGCAGAAACCTGGACCGAGGTCGTTGTCATCGGAGACGACAAGCTACAAGGCAGGGCCGTAAGGGAGGCGTTGCTTGTTCTAACGCTTGAATTCATTGGATCCATGGGATCACGAGAGACGGGAGCTCATCCGTTCGTTCGTCCGACAGACCGACCGTCCGTTCGACCGACCGACCAGCCGAGCAACCAACCACCACCGACAAGTGGTTCAGCGAAACGAGCAACGCATTGTTTCGAGCTCTTGGTCCATGAAGTCGACCCGACTCGACTGTTATGCTCTACTCGACTCCAGTGGGCGGCCTGAATGGTGTCCCACTCAATGTTCCACAACCAGGAGCCGGTCGGCAGGTTCGCAGGCAAATAGATAGGTTGGCAAGCCGGGCCATCCGAACCGGCGACGTAGATTATTCCGATGTCAGTGTTATAGTCAACGCTGCCGGCTCCAGCGCCGCCGCGCCGGCCGTTTGTGTTTCTGCTGTTATCGAGCTCGATTCCGTATTATGGAACGAGCCGGCTGTCGCTTGCTCCGACTGGAAGTGGGCCTCGCATCGGCCGAATGCCGTTACTTGAATTTCAACCAAGCCTTGCCCCAAATACGCAGTCATCATTGCGATGAATCATTCCGGAATACATATCCGTACTCGTTTATCGCTCCGGCTGGCTGCTCGACTTTTTTTTCTCTCCACGGAACCGGATCCGTGAGATGCGACGGCGGCATTCCTCGCCGAGAGAAGCTCCCAGAATGTGTTTTCGAGGACATGGCAAGAGGTGAGGGGGACGCTTTGAGCTTCGCCGGGCCGTCTGGGAACCAGAAACGAAAGGACAAGAGTCGAAGACGAAGTCTGCCCACGAACCGACTCTGTCGAGGCAAGACGCCCGGCTGGTTTTCTGTAACTCGAAATGACGCTTTTCCGAGTTGTGTTCGGAGACGAGCGAGCGATCGAGCGACCGAACAAGTGAGTGTTCACGAGCCGTCCCTCTTCGCTCAAAATGCCTTCGGGGGCCGCGTATCGAGTAAGTGCGTTCCGTGCAGTCGTCAGGTAGGCTGGCAAAGTAAGCAGGCAGGCGCCTCTCGAAACATCATTGCCAAGTCTGTAAGAGTTCGCTCGCTCGCTCCTCACCTGTCTTTTCGGCGGATGGCGCCGCCGTCTTACCGAAGTCACCTCGGACGGCCGAGCGGACGAGTAAGCGAGCGAGCCAACCAAGGAACGGATGGATCCCAGAATCCGGTTGGCCCTGAGACGCTTCGCAGGAAGCCGGCCGGCCGAGCCAGCGACGGACCGGCAGCCCGCTTGGCCGACAGACGGCCCAGAAAGGAATCGGGATTTAGCATGACAATGCTCCTTCAATGATCTGACCCGACAGACGCGAGAAGAACTAGATTCTGGAAAATGCTCCGAGATATTAGCGTCCTCGACGTGCAGAGAAGGAGATCCTCACCTGCCAGAATCGCGCTCGATCAAAGAGCTGCCACCACGTTACTTTCGTCTACCTGTTGGCCTGCACAAACAGGCCAATCGGGGAGCTCTTCATGGGATAGAAGGTCATTCCATCAGGTCTTCCAAGGAGAATAGAAGACATAAGTTTATGACGGACCGGTTCGTCAGAAGGTCCATCGTTCGGTGAGCGAGAAACGAATCTAGCTTGTCGCTTACATTTCCTTTTTCACTCTTCCAGGGGATCCACTCATGGGAAGATCCGGCCTGAAAACAGAATACCGAGAGTTCGACGAGTACAGCGCTGATTATACGACTATGGCGCTTATCTGAAGATGGTCCTCATTGGACGTCAGCTGTTCGATGTCGCCGCAGATGTCGATGCTCTCACCTGGCCTCATCGGTGCTGCTGCCCTCATTGCCGCCACTCCGTCTCTCGCGCTGCCGCTGCTCCTTTTGGAGAAGACGGAACGACGCTAAAAAAGAATCTGTAATCATCCGACTTCATCTGAGTGAGCTCATTCAACTCAGGCCAACGTCTGCCGGCCACTCTCTCTATCGTAGAAGGCGAGAGAGAGAGAGGGGAGCCCTGTAACACGGTGACATCGCGAGCATCTCCGAGGTGTCCCGCTCTCTTCGAAGGGATGCATATCCCATGAAACAGGAATTCCGTGGCTCCCGACGCACGCTCACGAGTCCAGTCTCTTGTACGTTCGTGCTCCTACTCGGTACGAACCAGAGACGTATCGCGTGGAACAGCGAGAGATTGTGTGCGTGCAAGTCCGAGAACGGAGCCGCGGCATCAATAAAGTTTATCGACAATCGACGTCGACGAGTACTCAAAATCCGTTCTCTCTCTTGCAGGTTTCCATCGACATCTTTTTTTTCGTTTTTTCCCTCTCTCTTTTCAGATTCTCGGAGTCGCTCGCGCCGAACCATCGACCCTGCTCTATCTTTGCATGCTCGATCCTTATTGCGGAAAAACCTCCGTGTTTTCTGCAGACCTTCTTTTCCTCCTCTCTGTTCCTCTGTTTGCCGTCGCTCCTCTCGACCATGGCCTCAGACCTGCTAACGTTGCTAGCGTCCCTTACAGACGTGAATGCCAACTACTTGTGGCCGGCTGCACTCGCAGCATTCCAAAATGCGTCCGGTGCCAGATCAGAGAGCCCTGAACCCGCAAACAACTTCAGTCCCACCGCGAACCCCACGCCAATCCCACCTCAAGGCAGACGCAGGATGACTCAGCAGAACCCGAATTCGCCCAACAAGCGCCGCGGCCGATACCAGTGCGGCTACTGCAACTTCCTCGGTGTGACTCCGTCGCACATGAAACGCCACATCCTCATCCATACGGGCGAGCGGCCTTTCGAATGTCCGTTGTGCCCGCGACGCTTCACTCAGAAAGTCCATCTCAAGTACCACATGAACAAAACCCACAAACTGCCTGGAATCCCGGGGGATAACAACTCGTCCCCATTGCCTGTGGGGCAGGGATCGCCGGGCTCTGGTGAAGAAGGCGTCACTCCTGTGAGCGGAATTAGCGCCCATGACGACGATGTCACGGAGCTCGACGACGGACCCGAGCCCCCCGTCAACCCATCGTCTCTAATGCAGACGGAGATGACTGCGTGAACGACTCGCGGCGGTGGCGGCAGCGACGACGACGTCGACAGCGACGGTAGCCTCTAGCAGGTCGACTGCTGAGCGAGGCGTTCCGACCGAACGCTCGTGCGCCGGTTCGTCCGCACGCCGCGCCACCGAGAACACGATTCTTGATCACCAGCGCGGCAACAACATGTCCTGTCATTGCACTAACCAACCTCTATCCAAGATCGACAACAAACAATCATACATATTGTAGCAATGTGAACCTTTGTCGCCGGAAGAGATCTCCTCCTCGACGGAAGAGGTCATATCGAGCGAATTGTACCGACATGAACGTCCTTACCCTGATTGATTATATCCCTACCATCACCTGGCCCAGAGATCACCGAATCGGCCCGCGGTCTCAGCCCGCTCTCTTGCATGTAGAAAGATAGAATATATCCAGCGGTTCGCAGAAGCGACAGCTTACGTACCCGGTCGCTCTAGGGGCGCGGCGATCCGAGGGCCTTTGTACATTTTTGTCCGAGAATCTCGTAAATTAGGAATAGTAATTAGGATCGAAGCCCTTTCCCCCTCCTTTGCAAATTGAAGTTGTGTGTCCCATATTGCAATTACTGCATTCAATGTATTGTGAATCTTTGTTTTAACAAGCAAAGCAAACGCGCGTTCACGCTGTGCCTTCTCCGAGACGTTTCTGACCGCTACGCCTGTTGTATTATGCGATTGAAAGGCGAATCAGATTCTGGAGCGAGAGAGTTCGATCTTGGTCTGACCGAGATGGAGATGATCCGTTGTCGTCGTCGACGTCGAGAGCAAGATCGACCATCATCAGAATGGTCCTCATGATAATTACGATAATATTTGAGCTGTACTTAATATTTATTATTACCGTCGGGTCGATGGAGTTATACCATATGCCGAAGACGGGTTCAATGTGTCACAAGTTATTATATGATGATGATGATGATTAATTATGATTTTCTCGATATCAAATCCCATTTTCGGAGAGGACTTGGTCCTCTTTCAACGGAGGCGCGATTAGTTTTTGTCGGCGAGACAAGCGGAATCATCAGTGAACGTATATTCTCTCCGCAAGAAAGGCTGTTGGTTGAATTGAGAGTTGCACTTCAACATTCCTTTTCGTCATCGTCGTAATCTTTGTTGTCGAACACTCGATTGAGATTATCTCGTGTCGGATAATTTTTTTCCGCTCTTAGAAATAGTAAGGTAGTAGAAGAAACAATTCCATACGGAACATTCCAGCCGAAAGGGACGTCAGTGTACACGGCGAGATCCCACCCGAAACGATAATGTACTATCGCTGCCACGGCCTTAGGTTTCGCCTCTTCCAATTGCTAGGTAAATAGCGCCGAATGATTGGGATTCGACTCGAGACGATCTGGAATACGACCACGGGAGAAGCTGCGGATCACCGAAAACACTTGGAGAGATACCGGAGATCCTTGGAGGCTACCTCAATATGGGGAATTGGGGAACAAGAGATTTTCGTCGTTGAAATTGCACGAAGGAAATCATCGAAATTATGGCTTTCGGAAGAGATCAGAACGTGCTCGAGATGAAAACAAGATGATCAAACGGTTTCGTTTGGTACGAGTCGAGTGAAAGTCCGTCTCATTGTGGCACTAGGTAGAAGAACGAGATGGAGGACATCACGTTAGGTACTTACAGGATGACGCCGCTTGTTGGCCTCAGAACTGGATTCGAAAGGTGCTGAAACATAGAGAATTCTATATGTTATTATCCATATGAATGAGAGGATATGAAACGACAACAAAAATGAATTATTGTAAGATACGTTGTATATACAAAAACGTTATTCTACCCCGCTAATATCATGATGATGATGATGAGGATTCTGACCAACTAACACTTCTCTATTAAATAAAGTTATATTCATTATTTATTTTAAGATACGCTGTCCTGCTTTTCATTCTTCGACCTCACGCTCCGGGGGCCTGAGCATCTATCTGGGCCTGATGCTCCGAACGAGTGCGAAATATCGAATCACCGCTTCGGGAACTCCCTTCTACTGCTGCGAAGTTGGACGCACCACTTGAGAATCGATCGAGAAAAAACAAGAATTTCTTCGATGCATTGTTTTATTCACATTCATTCAATCCGAACAATGATGATTTGTCTGAGCGCCTTCAAGTCTCAGAGCGCGCCCCCACGGACGCTGCAACTTCTTTGCTCCAGTCACGTTTTGGGAGTCCGGAATTTCTTGACAAACTTGATCACGGTCCTAGACGTGATATTATATTCTCGGATCGAGCAATCCAAGTCATCGAGTCGTACGTCGTGTGCCTGTAGTGAGTGTGTTTTCCAGAAACTCTTCCACGACAACCTGGAACTCCCTTCCGGATCCTCGATTCGGAAGTGTGAATCACATGAACGCTGCACGGCCTTCCGCAGCTGGCGAACTTTCGCATCGGGCTCCACGGAGACCTGCAATCTGAATGTACGACGCTAGGAAGGGTTCGAGATCATGCGGAAACGAGGTTAGTCGAAATCATCGTAGATGAGCACCCGACCCGACCATTAGGGGCAACTGCTGACGCAAACCTTGAACCGTCTCCTCTGAGAAGCGTGAGGGCGATTTTTCTACCGAAGCGTACATCCACGAGATCTCTCAGTTCTTCGCAAGACACGCTCTCGAAACCAGACAGAAGCTCATCATTGCGTACCAGCGTTACCAGATCAGCATCGATAGATTCCAACTCTTTAGCAATGCCACGCAGGGCTTCCATTGCATCGATTGCGACTCCCGTCTGATCGTATGGTAGCGTGTCGAGATGTTGCACAATGCTCCACGAGCAGAAGTGACACCGACCCCCAGACTCAACTGAGTTCCCCCATGAGCATGTGGAACTCGAACGAGACTCTCCCCAGACCGATGTCACTTCATTCGGCGTCGAATTCTCTCGGAAAATAGGATCTATCCGGCGACAGTCCCGCACGGAGGATTTCTCTGGCAGGGTTTCACTCCGCACAGCTGACAGGGGCGCCAGGCAGCATGCTCTTCCGTTTTGTAAACATCGACAATAATCTAGAGCCGACACCCAAGAGCGGATCAGCTGGCGCCCTCTGTGTTCAACAATGTAAGCTCTGGCGCGCGGTTCCCCCTACACCTGGCTCCTGTCAGATGGACGTCAGAAAATTTTAGAGACCTTCCAGGAGCTTGATGATGCTCATTGAAAGGGAAAAGGAGAAAGGGAGCTTCGCAGAGTCCTGGATAACGGCCCTCCGCAACCTTCGGTGCTGCTTGCCGTGTCGCGAAACGCTCAGCGGCTCGAGAACGGCAGCGAAGTCCGCCGGAAGACCGAGCAGGCGAGCCTGGCTAATTTATACCAATCATCACTGCCCTCCGTGGATATGTCTGTGCTTTGGATCTAGCTCAACCGGCGAATCGAATACGGAACGATGTTCAGAAAGGATTCAATGTGCGCTTGAGATCGCTTTCTTCGAAATGCCATCTTTTCGTGATGTCACCTGTCCTCGAAATTCCCTGAACAGTCATCAATATCTCTCGCTCTCAGCGATTCCTTAGAGTGGCACTCCATCATCAAGGAACACAAAAGAATCTCGCCGTTGTTCTAAGTGACTACTGCAAAAGACGGAGGAGCCCCGGACAGCCTTCAGACTGGCCTCTGGCTCCAATCGCCATTTCAGATGTTCTTTTCAGACGTTGCGCGTCTTCGGTGGTGAGGGGCCCACGACGGCGGCGGCGCGGCATTCGCCTCCTCCACTTAAAACTAAACTCTGAAGATGAGTTCGGGGTAGCCGATGCTCATTTATCACGGGGACGTTCTCCGAGGAGAGTCTGAAGATCAGCCCTCAGAAACCCCCCGCCGCAATAAGCTTCAACGTCGGAGTGAGAGACGCTCCAACTGAATCAGATGATCTCTCTGAAGACGATCTTGAGCTACCGGAGCAATAGTCCTGCGCGACGTCTGTTCAATGCGCTTATCGCTGGGTATTTTCAGAGCCTACCTTGTCTTGCATCCATCGGGAGACCGCGATAAGAGAGATTTTGAGCGAGGACGTAGTTTCCCAAATCAGTCGCCTCTCTCTTCCAAGCATGGCGTGCATTCGTTGCGCGACGAAGCATCTCGCTGTTCGGGAAGCCCCTGGACTGAGGATTCTCTCGGCACTTCTAAGCTCAAGTACCCCGAGGACTGGCGGATTCGAGAGTTCGGAGAGTTCTCGTCTTCCGAGGAACGAATGAACCTCCTTCATCTCGGCGGCAGGCTCGGACCGAGTCGTGCTCGCCACGATCCACGTATTCGCGTCCGGGAGTCTTCCACCGATCGTTGCTTCATGCAGGGGAGCCGAGTGACGGGTGAATTTGGCTCTGCCAGAGGGTCGATCGTCACAGATCGGATCGAGGACTCCAATCGCAAATCTTGATCTACTTCATGCCGGGATGGCGAGTCTGGAGAGTCGGAAAGAGTATACGCCATTCCCTATGGATATCGCGCTATCCACCTCTGATTCCAGACTCAGAGGGAGATAGCTCGCATGCTCCGGAAACGTTCTTAGAATTTTTGCGCGGTGGGTATATATCTTAATTGAGTAAAAAAATCATGGCAGAATTCAGGGCACAGATCTGCAAGCATGGAATACTCCCCGTCGTGTGCTTGCTTACCGCAGATCTCTCTTTCAACGGAGCCGCGGCTCCAAGAAGGATTTATCCAAAGAACAAATCGCGAAAGTAACGGAGTTCGTCAGTGTACTGCTTCGGAGACGCACGTCGAGTTTTGCCACGGTCGGTCCAGCTCTCCTCACAGGTGTCTCAAGAGAGCTGAGCACGCCTCTTTCGTAAATAAACCGGTAAATCGTGTTTGCTGAAGAAACAGGTAGTTCTGTAGACTGAGAAGACTCTGAGGCCGATGAGTCACTTTAGAGCCGAGTGACACGCAGGTCATTTTATGACACAGGGTTCAATTGGGGCGTTGCTTATTGATTTGCAAAGCCAGACGCTCCAAAGATTCACCTCGGTCATCAATACCGGGACGAGCAAGGCTCTCGGATTGAGCCGGACAACCCGGATATGTCTAAGCTTGGAGAATAATTGAGATCCGACGACTGGATCCGCTCGGGGGAACTTCGTTCGCCTGTCGGGCCTCTTAAAACAATATTGAGAGCGGGGGGAGGCTCCACGAACTTGTCACGAGAGCGCGTGAGCAGAGGAATGCGCCCTCGTGTCCTCGAAACCCCCACGATTCCGTGACTGGAATGTCGAGAGGCCTCCGCCATACTCTAGTTCGGCGTCCTCGCTTCTGATCGACTCTGCTATCGTGCTGAGCGTTGCGATAAAATCGTCTCTCTCGCTCGTTCGACGACTCGAAGTCGTCAGGTTGAACTCCTTCTGTGAAAAGTCGCCGTCTCGAGTCCTCTCTCATGCAATCGCACATCGGAAGAAATAATTATACCGGCACATCACAGCGTTGCCACAGGGTGGTGTCCGGCTCTTTATACGCAGGAGAACGCCGATCCGGAAATCGTCGATGAGCGGTTTTCCGATTCGTATAGAGAAACTTGAAATCGACTGCGGACAGTGGAAAGCGGCGGCAGCGACTCGTCGCGTGGAAAAGTAAAATCGACCGAGCCATCAGAAGGTCATCACTTCCCACAGAGATCGAACCGTCCTTGCCTACGCATCCAAGAACGGAGCCAGCATTGCTTCTGGTTTCTATTCCAGGATGAAAGCCGTTCGAACTATCCGAAACTTCCGAATCCGCATTCCAATATCGCCAATACAGGGGTGGATATCATTGGGATCGGGCGATCTTCATTTTTGGACTGATCTGAGTTCAGTATCTGCCACGGTGGAGGCAGGGACCTATAGCCATATGTCGGCAGTTTTTCCGCGGAAAGCGCGGATCGGATCCCGGGGGAATCCGACGAGCAAAATTTTGATGAGAAAAGACACCTCACTGGATGAAAAAATCATCATCATCATCTCCATCATATATTATTATATTACATTTACATTTGGTGACAAAGCCGTGGAGACACCCTAACCTAGAATATGCTAGCCCACGGATATCTGTGGGAGGCACTATGAATCTTGCAATCAGCTAGCCGGATTTCGTCTCCGCGTACGACGTCCCTCAGTCCGTTGGTAAATCGGTCGGTCGGTCGCCTGTCTGATCCGCTGCCTCACCAACTAGCTGCCCGCTGCCGGCCCTGTGGAGCTTCGTCCCACGTCCGGGATTCTCCCGTAGAACTGGTCGGAGGCTTGGTTGCCAATCGTTGGTTTTCTCGCCAGGGAATCGAACGATATTAGCGAATAAATCCGGAACATTCTACCACGAATCAACGTTTGGAGTTAACTTGGCCCCTAGTGATGCAAGAGAAGCAACAAGGCGGAGCACAGCGCGATTAACAAACTAACTGTACACAACTTAGAACTGGCCGCGGACGGATATTCATGGGAAGACATGTCGACTCCCTCGATGTGATTCATGCCGAGAGCGGGTGTATTGCTCGTGTTGTTGAATTCCGCGGCCACCGAACCTTTCTGCAGCGTGAACAGATCATCGTTGAATTGTACTTTCAACATCGTGGTCATGTCAACGCTGTACACAGCGTTAGGATCTTTCTCTGCATCTCTCCTCCGCCTGCGACCGTGACCGAATTGGCCGTTTCCGCATGGGATGCTCTTGCACTGATTGATACAGATTGAAACAGTCCCCGAGAACATGACATAGTTCGAGTCAGGGAACTTGAAGGCTTTGAATGTGGCGCTCAGGGAGTCGCCTTTGTCCGGCGTGATGAAGTTCGAGAATATGTACGGGTCGATTGAGCAACCGTTCATCACAACGACTTCCTCTTGTTGTCCTGCACTGTCGGACACTTTCAGGAAGCTCGCGAGAATGCCATAAGTCGCCTTGCTGACAGGATCGAGATAAATCACCATCTCGAGAGGTGTACCCGGCTGGACGTTGTACGTGGTGTCCAGCATCCGCCCGTTCTGCTTGATGCCCAGGTCGAGATTGGGGATAGGCGCACGAGCTTCAATGTACTCCGTGATGTTGATGTGATCCGGCTCGACGATATCCGGCCAATTCGGTAGCGTCTGCCGGCGCGTCCTGTTGAGTCTATCCTGGCCTGTGCTGCATTGGATCAGTATGATCTCACGTTTGTCTTTTTCCTCGTTTTCTAAAATTATCCTCTGGAAGTAGGTCTTCTCGCCGGTCATCTGGTTGGTCATCCTGCTCGCTCCGCAGCGGAATTCGTCCTGTAGGTTTATGGCGAATCGCACGGAGTTCTCCTTGATTTCAGGTTTACACATGGGGAATCCTTTCAGGTTTTCCAAGTAGACATCGGTAAATTTCACGCCGGACGTATCCAGCTCCACATGGATGTTCTCTTCACTGCAGTCGATTCTCGGTAGGAGCTTGGCGTTCACCGGCATTCCAGCTCCGAGTACGAACGCGGCCACCAAGTGGTAGAAACGCATGGCGGATCCTCCGGTGCGGGTCTCCCGCTCCTGCGATGCACGAGTGTTTACGGCGGCGGAGACGCTTCACGCTTGTTCCGTACGCCTCAGTCACTGTGGTCCGCAGCTTAAGTGTCTGGCCTTCGATCTGGTCGGCAGCGCTGCGTTCGTCTTGGATTGCGTAGTTGCAACGTGGGTCGACATATCAGCGAAGGGAAAGAGTTTCTGTCTTTTCTGGGAATTCGCTCCCGTGCGCGGCTGAAAGGACAGGGAGTTTTCGGGTCACGAGAGACGACGCTCTGAACCCATGAAGACGACATCTTATCCGAAAACCGGGTCAGGCATGCAAATCCTTCCCCGATCGCCGCAATCGGCTAGCCGATGAGACTCGTTGAGAAAATGTTCTACGCTCGTTCAATTTCTTCTCTGCGAGAAGAACGACGAGGCACGTCCACTCCTTCTGTTTCGTGCGAAGCAATGGATCGAAATTTAATGCGACGGCAAAGAGATCCTTTTGGGCATCGGTCCGAAGGGGTGAGGTTCAATGAAGGCACATACGCGGCAGGTGCCTCATGGGTTCGTCAGAGTTGGTGAAGGAAGTACTCCCTGGCGATGACTAAGCTGCTTATCGGCAGCCTTTTCGACCGAGATAAGTTCTCAACGGAAGTGCTCGTACGTTCCCCGTCCGGACGCGACCGAAATTCTGGCACTCTTTACTGAAGTCCAACAAAGCCAACGTATGGGTGGGTGGTTCGGTTCGTTTGTCGTCTGATCGGTCGCTTGACTGGAGGGCTGTACAGTGTTCGCGCTTCCGTCGACTGAAGGAAACGCGCGCCGCGACGGAGCCCAATCAAAAGATTTACGTCAGCTACGTGGGGCAGTGCTCTGAGCCACCGACCACCTGAGCGACATTCACGCCAAACGCAAACGTTCTCTGGCGGCAAATTTTTTGCTCAGAAGTCCAGAAGCCTGCTTTCGACCCTGGTCAATCCTGCCGAGCGGGTCCCGCGTTGTCATTTCTTCACCAGTTCCGCATGCGGAAATCCCCGATTGGATAGCTCGGTGAACGATCCCGGTTTTCCGGAGAAAGCGAGCGAGTGAAGCAGGAGAGAGCGCGCGGAATTTTCCGCGGAGTGAAGTTCATCGCTGCAGAATCGATGGCTGAGATTGCGCGAGGAATCTCTGCTCCTTCCCTTCCTCCGTGATCTACGCAAATCGAGTGGCGGAAGATCACTGAGCTGTTTTATTCTCGCACATTTCATCCTCTGATTGGATGCCTAATAATGATATTGTTTTGGTTATTAAATGTTTGGCGGCTGCTCCTCTCGTGGCTTACACAGCTGTTCGCTGATCGTCCTCACGATGGAATCGAGTCGGGTCGGATCGGGTGTTAAGTGGCAGTTGTCGGATTTTGATGCCCGAGTGTGTGCGCGAGTGAGCTCTTGAAAAGCCTCGAAAAGAGCAGCCGAAACAAGTCTCTCCTGAGTTTTGTCTAATGCGAGAGAAAACGAGCTCTTCCTCGACGCAGCTGGCTGCCGCTCGGTGTTCTTTTGTTGTACACAGTCCTTCAACAGCGAAGAAGGAGGAGAAGGAGGAGGCGGCAGTCGCCGCCGCTGCTACTGCCGGAGCAGGGGGAGCAAGTGATCCCTAGTTGACTCATACGGGACGAGATGGGAGAAGAAGAATCAATGCCTGCCTGCCTGCCGGCCAGACAGCCAACGACTTCCAGGAGGAGAGGAAGGAGACTAGACGAAAGAGAACGAACAAGGAGGCAAAACTAATTCAATTTATTCATACACAAAGTGAACGGAACGGGGAACGATGCGATGCCGCGCCCCGAATGACGACAAGAGCTGCTCGCTTCGACCCTGCAGCAACGAGAGAGAAGGAACAACTACCGAACTCACTAAACTTGTCTCTTGGCTGAATCACTCACAGCGAAATCTTCTTCTCTCGTTTCACTGTCGCCTCTTCTGTCCTGTGACTGAGATTTATGAAAGGTCACCAGTCGGCAACGAACTCGAAAATTCCCAAGGAGAGCGCGCACCAATGGAGACATCGCTGCAATGTTACGGAGACCGCGCTAGATTCCCCGGCTTGCAGTCCGGTAACATTCTCCGTCAATTCAGAGGCTCGACTGAAGCCTGTGCTTCCCACCGTTGATTCGTGTGACAAAGAAACGAAAAATTTCCTGGTCCATATCCCTCCTCTAATGCTCGCGGACAAGCCAATATCCTAATGCTGCAGGTTCCAATCTATTAGGCTTCTGAATTCGGTGCTCAATACTTACTCAGCCGAAATGTGCCGCTTACTGAGCACCCTGGCAGTCATGGAGCCCTTCGCACAAACATTTTGCCACTCTCTCGCGCAGCACTCCTCCTCGCCCACATCGTGGGCACATATCGAAGTTATGGCTGACAGGTGTCCGTTTACGGCTCGAATCTTGTTTGCAAGAGATCGGTCCGGAGATTATCGTTCGCTCGTTGTTGGATCTGCTTGTACTCTAGTATGCTGCTTTGTCTGGTCGATGGACTAGCATCGTCCGCCTGGTCAGGGCTAAGTCGTTGACTCGCACAGTATTACAAACATTGGTCAGTTAGTCAGCGCCTAATTCAATGGAACGGATCCAATTTCAGTGATGAGCTGGGGTGAATCTATGACAGCGATACGATGTCGATTTCCTTCCCGAGACGCGCCGTGGGGAATGCGCGGACCGCCGGAAAACACGGAACAAATTTAGGGATCCCATCAAGCCCCAATCCCGCTCCGAAACCCGGATTGGAGCCCATGATTCTTCATTCACGTATACGTATACCATCCATTGTATATCATTCATAAGCACGTGCTGTAGTTTGCTCAACGAGCAAGTCTAGAAGGAGTTTCAAAGGGGTTAAACCAAATGATCGACACCTGCGTCGAAGGCACGGGGAGCTCGCCGCGGTCTCTTTCTTTGACTTGAAAAATGTATAAGTAGACGAGCGAAGACGACGACGACGACGACGAGATTGAGGGTGTCCGCCCATCCATATACTCGTATAGAGTGAATGTATCCGTGAAGACGGAAGATGCGGCGTGTGTCGATCGTAGCCGAGCTATTCGAGTATATGTATGTGAGGAGCTCTATGGAAACGGGGAAGAAGACGGGACGACACAGAGGAGGGGAGGGCGCCCCTCCGCTGAATGGTGAATGGTCGTCACATACATCGTGGCTTGCCTTCGTGTGCCATCGGGCTTGTCGGTGGGTGTGTGTGCGTGTGCGCGAGGGTGCATCCGCGTTCCCTTTCCCCGATCGGACCATAAATCCCGGGGAGACTCTTTTATGATTCGAGTCGTCTTCCTTATTTCTCAGCAGTGTCGTCTGTCCCCTTTTAATGCGATTGTTTGAAGGAACTGCCGCTGTCGCCGCTGAACTGACCGAGTCGAGCCGTGGTCACCCCCGAGATGGACTGTGTTACTTACTTGAGGTTGGACTCGAGTTTCTCGCTGAAACGACCGGGGCCTCACTCAATCATGGACTTAGTTTCATTTGAAGAACAAAAGAACTTTCTTTGTGTCTTTTCCTACATCCTCATGGACTCCTCTCTCCCGCTGCTCCCTCATTGTGCGGGTTGATCCTGAGTTTTTTTCCGGCACTTCACGTCAACCACGGCGACTGCGAAGCCTCCTTCTGCACGAGGCAGAAGAATTCTGCTCGAGGTCGTCCCCCCAGTAACACGCCAAGACTCAGCCAAGAGCATGCTCTGTTCGCTGATAGTGGAACGAGGCAGCATCGCATGGGAGAGACCTGGGTCTGCGTTAGGTCTTTTGTCCTCCGTTCAAGTATCGTCTATTTAGGACTCTTATGACGACGCGCCATTTATTGGCGAGCTGATGTTGCATAAGCACACCCAAACGACAAGCGGCTTTGTGAGCTCGGCCCTGGTAGACAACATCAACAAAAGTTGTTGGCTCGGCTGTCATTACCCGTTGAGCACCGGCTAACGAGCGCAGCCAGGAGAAGAAGCCTTACCACAGCGAAACACTAATGGTCTTTCTTAGAATGAAATGGCGGTCTGCAACGATCTTTGATGTGCTCTTCCACTTCCTTTCTCGCTCTCCTATCATTGGTTTCTCCTCCGCTCCTTGGTCAGGCTTGCGTCGCGACAGCTCTGCAGGCCTCTTCATCGTTTGCCCAGCTCTCCGAGGATTCCTGTCTGACTGCGCAATGAGTAACATCCTGATTGAATTATAAGCGCTCGATGCATCTTCGCTCACTCATTAGTTTCTATGTAGATGTCAGCGAGAAAGCAAAACGAGTCTGCCACTCCGTCCATCAGCCCGCCAGCTCCGGAGCACGATCTCACTTGCTCCTCCTGTTCGCTACCCTCCTGGGAGCGTGAAGACTTGACTCTCGAGCTTTGCTTCACTTCGATACGCTTCAGTCGATTTAGCATTTCATCGAGTGAATGAGAGCCATCCCGGACTGCGATCCATTCATGTATCCGTCGCTTGATTTTTCGATCCTTCCCCCTGATGGCTGCTTCCTCTAGGAAGCCCTTCCGCACTCGGAGGAACGCTAGCGCTCAACAAGAAACTAGAGACACAGAGTGAAAGGATGGGCGGGAGCGACTGCGGGGATCAGAACTTTTCGAAAGACCGTCCCGGCTCATCGTCGGTAGCGACGAAAGAATAGATGCCTCGCTTCATAAATTGTTCCTGAGTCCTAATGAAACAATAAATGTTACGCCGCGCGCTGAGGAAGAAACTGGGAAAGTACAATGAGCCGACCGAGATAGCGTCATTCGCACCCATCCAGAGATTGACGGATTCGGTGTTTCAGTCCTTCCGGGCTCCCCACGTCAGGGAGCGACGAACGCAGCGAGATGTACATATAACTATTTACCTTCGTTCGCGAGTTCAATCGGAGACTAATGAATTGCATAGTTAGCGGCACGACTCGCGGATCGATGTCGCAAATCATTTCAATTGCACGCCGCAATCACACGAAGGATGCACTGTTCACGCAGAAGGTCTTCGTTGAGTGTCCCCCGTCTTACCTGAGCTCCGAGAGCTGCATGGAGACGAGAGGGTCCGCAATTTATTCCGACAGATCCCTTAGGAAACCCGCTCTTCAGGCAC